ATATCGATTAACGAAGGAAAAAAGAGAGAGGAAGCGGACTCTTCTTGGTCGATCGACGGAAGTGAAGGGCCCGTTTCTTGGAGGATGGATCGAGGCGCAATCAGCGCTGTCGTGAGCGGCTTTTAATCGACATTCCCCGTGATGATTCCTTCGCCGTTCGCGAGACGAATTTCCTGCTCGATTCCTTGATCCTCTCCGGATTAATCGGCGTGCGTGAGCGCACGCAGCTCTTGGGGCCCCGAAAGAGAGAGGCGACGACCGCGCGTGAAGAGGTAGGGGGGAGAGAGAGCGATCGCGTTACGTGGGCCCCGTGAGCGCGAACTTGACACCGGCAAGGACGCGTTTCGAAAGGAGGAAATAAAAAATACACCGACTGGCCCCAGACCGTTAAAGGACGCGACCACGGCTTACGGCGATGGCTACGAGTCAGCTGTTGAAGACGCGCTCAGCAGAACCGACGAATCGCCGAATAAATCATCCGAGTAAAAGGATCGCGATCTGTTGGACTCGACCTCGAGACGATCGACGCGAGAATTAACGTGTGGTATGGTTGTCGCGGGAACCGCGAAATTGCTAACGGGATACACGCGTATACAGAATTAATTCCTCGCGCCTGCCGGCTGTTAGGACAGCTCTCCGTTCGTGTACTTCTAGAAACGAGTGATCACTTTTTAAAATGTAGCGTCATTCGAGTTAACGGACGCGGGGAATAGAGTTATTTGTAGGTCTTGCTTTGATCCGAGAGCGTTTATTATAGTGGGATGGATGGGTGGTCGTGGATATCGACTGAATAAGGATGATGTACAAGATAAAGCTGCTTGGGATTTTTAGGTGTAGCGAGTTGGGAACGAATTTCGTACACAGTACTGGTAAACTTTCATTTTATTGACTAACCAGAAGGCTGTAGTGTTTTTCAGTTCATTTTAACCCTTTAACGACCAGACCCTTAGATCGTTATTTCAGAATTATGAGACTGATGAGAATTAGATTTCAGATTTAGATAAATCTTTATCTTCCTTTTCTCTATATTTTTCTCTTGTCATACTTATCTTCTATTTTTTCTATACCCGACAACTCGTATTTCAATCTGCCCCTGCACAATCGTATTTTCTCCAGCGCAAATTCTATCGGTCCATTGATTTGTACCTCCAAGAGCTCATAAAATGTCGATCTTTACGTACACCTGCTGTATTTCAAAGCGGCGCATTTCCTAACTTGTTTCCGCAGAACCTAGCGCTCGATACATGTCGTGTTTCACACGTCCGTCGCGAGCAGATTTTGCGCATTAATTTGTTCCGCTAGGATCGTTTCGCGATTCACTCATTGCCGATCGAGAGACAAATCTGTGTGGGCATTTCACGATCTTGGTTTTCCCGTTCACCTTCGTCAGCCGCCGGGGGCACCGAAGACGAAACTCAAATAAAAATTTCGATCCGTCCCACAGTGGTAAAAAAAAACCCAACAAATCGGGAATAATTTTAGAAATTGGCGGTTAGCGGTGTTGTAGAGTAATGCGGTAAAAAAGGGCCTAATTTCTATAATTTTCAATTCATGTTCCTTTTTTGTTCAGAAATATGTTTTTTTATTTTAGGTAATGAAACGATAAAACATCTAGTAAATACTTTCCATGTATTCTAGATCTTCGCAAACTTTTATAACTTCTGGTGGATAATTCGCATTTTTTTTGGGACTTATTTTATTAAAACGAGAAAGATAGGGATCGGAGGAAACTAGAAGACCGTGGAAAATACCTTCCATAGTTTCTAAACTCGAAAATTTTGTACATTTCCAGTTCAAGTAAAATCAATCCAAAGAAGCGTGCAGACTAATCATCAGCAGTTTTTAAATTTTTCAAAGAACCAGAAAAAATGGAATGATTTTTTTATCGGACAGATTCACGGCGCCAACGATAGTTTCGCGGCTGGGGTTTCCGGTGCCGCCGGAGGAACCTAATAACGGTGTTCCGATCCGTCCAATCATCGATCATCCTTGGTACCCAGACGATATCCAGTCCACGACAATCCCGCGAGAAATTAATTTATCGACGCGTTTCCAACACAGTAGTTGGGGGGGGGGGGGGGGGGGGGGGGTTCGACTAAATTATTACTATAACGGTTGTAAATTTGTAACGGTTCGAATCGCGGGGCCGGTCAACATAGTTCCGCCTCGGGAATCTTTTCGTTCGGCGAACAAAATTACGGGACGTGTCTCACCGTCGTCGCTGGTCGTCTCGTTTCCAGGATAATCCGCTCGAGTTTCGTCTCGGTGAGTTTTCGAGTCGCGGACGACGGCGTTTCGCGACAACTTCGACCTAATTCGTAATCAGGTTTCTTTTGACGACGACTCGATCGTCCGTCTAGTATACCTATTGCTGCAGAAAATGGAACTATTTCTTTCAAGGGGGAACACACTTTGAACTATATATTTGGTCAATTCTAGAAGATATTAATAACAACGTCGTTTTAAATCGAAGATTCGTTGTTCTTTTTAATCTGATCAACACTATCATTCACTGTCCTTAGCTTCTTGGTCTTATCAGCTTGTATGCACCTACAAGGCCACTGAGACCTCTACATATATCTCTGTCTGTTACAAAGATACAACTCAAGATTTTCTATCTCTGGTCCCGTTTATCGCGTTTGTGAAACAGCGAATTCTTTCTGTAAAGATCTCGATCTTTTGAGTATAAATCTTGAGGAAGATAATAACGAAGAGACTAATATCGTTCTGTCGAAAACCTCCAAGGTAGAAAGGCCCTTTAAACGTCCGTGCCAGTCGACACAAGTCGTCGAAAAAAAAAAAAAAAAACAGGATCATCGACATCCGCGTAAAAGCATTATCCTTCGAAGGCCGAACGATCGGTTTCTATGATCCTGGGGCGTGGCACTGAAACGATCCGTCGATCCGAGAAAGGAATCCGTCGTTTTACGTAACAAATCTCGAGTGATCCGCGACCAGCCGAGAAACCTCCTGCCGTAGCCTATGTCTCTACGGTCGTTCCTCGCGTGTCCAGGATAGTTTCCATGATTCCTGGCGTGTTGTCCTGCCCGGTGTGCGATATCCCCGGTCCTGGATCGTACTTACCCCGGTTATAAGAGATTTCCAAGAAGTCCGAACACGCATCATTGTAATTTCAGAACAGTGAGGGGGAATCTCGTGACCCGAGTGAATTACTTGTTGCTCCGATTCCTTTTTCCTCTTTGCTATCCGCCACTCCAGGTCCACGCTCTTCGATCTTCGTTTCTCTAACAAAGCAATCGGGAGGAGACGTTTTATCGCACGGAACAAATGATCCTAGTTGATCTGGAACCAGACAAATTACGGACACACGGAGAAACATCCACGGGGACCGGATGGATTCGTTTTGATTAAAACGAAATCGAGCATTTTTCAACGGAAGAGATCCACGGGGTCTAGAGGAGACCTCGGTTCTTGATGGGACATATCGTCGGGAAACCGGTCCGTAGTAAAAATTGCTGGATGATCACAGTAGCGCAGCAGCATCGTTCGTGGAATCGGCAGGAAATCAGGGCAACTTTGTCTTCCACGCGAACCACACGGAGTCCGTTTCCCTTCTCGAGGTATCAATTAGATCGGACAAATTAGAACACCGGTCGAGTCAATATTGATACCGTAGGAAATCGGTAGGAGCGTTAATGAACAGCCTCTTTCTCTCTATCTATCTTTCTTTTTCGTTTGGCCCCCTTTGGTACGAACAGGGAGAGAGAGAGGAGCGAAAATAAGAAAATAAAAAGAGGTATTTAAGGCTACCGACTGAAAGAACGAACTACCGTACAAAGAGAGCCGAGACACATCGCGAGGGGGAACGGAAAAAGGAGAGCTGAGAAGGCGAGAGACGGAGAGAAAAGATGAAATAAAAAGATGTAGAGGGGGATCAAGAAAGGAAGAGGGAGGGGAGAGAGAGAGAGAGAGAGATCTCTATGCGGTAGCTGAAGCCAGTCAGTCAGGTATGCCTGGAGGCTAGGCCATGATAGACAAGGTCATCCTCTCCCCGCCTTTACACGTACTCGGGGCTCCGGCTACCGGCCAGTCCTCGTTTACATTTATTTATTTATAAATATACCGCGGCGCTCGGCTAATGCGCCAGCGCACGCCGACAGAGAAGAAGGAAGCGAAGGCACGATGAAAGGAGAACGGAGAGAGAGGGAGAGAGAGAGAGACCACGATGGGAACCCCTTCACCTGTCGATCCACACTCATTATTTGGCTGTTCGGGGCGCGCAAATTGAACCGTGGCAGCGTCACGGCTACTCTTACACGGATCGAATATTTTAAAAGTCACCTCTTTCGATACTTAAGAACATGGTTTCCTTGGCCTGTAAAATACGATGATGATTTAATTAAAATCTCCCCGTCTTGAACGATCTTTTCCCATCTTCCAAACAAAATTGAATACTTACTTTGTTCTAATCCAGTGTCTCCCAACCTTCTTTGGACCATGCCCCACTTGAACGCCTCAAGGATCTCAGTGATTCGTATATTCGTTCACAGACCTCTGCGATAACAATTAAGTGTCGAAACTTTTATGCAATTTCTATTTATATGTATATTCCTCTTATCGTTACATTCATCATCCTTTTGTGATATGTTTTTCGTAATTTTGAAATACTGTTCACATTTTGGTAAATAATTTGGTCCACTGGAAGCGGGGCAGCCTTCCGTGAACGAGTCTGTGAGTCACCGTAGGTAAAACTGTTGTCGATAGGGTGACGAATGTCCACGATTCGCTAATTACCCCCTAAAATATGAAAATTTTCCCTCGGTGGTTCATACGTTCCACGTTGAGAAACACTAGTCCAATCGAACGAACCCCCCCCCCCTTATTTCGAAACCTTCGATGTACAATTCCCCCTTGGATCGATTCCCAGTATTTTCAATTGTTTCTTGGTAAACTCCTCGATGTATTCCTCCCAGTTGTAAACGACCCGACAACTAAGTCACAGTCCCACTGACCACACGCCCATCTCTTTCTCGTTGCAGATCTTCGGTAGCAAAGCGGACCTGCAGCTTCACACGCAGATCCACATGCGCGAGGCGAAGCCGTACAAGTGCACGCAGTGCGCGAAGGCGTTCGCAAACTCCTCGTACCTGTCCCAGCACACCAGGATCCACCTGGGCATCAAGCCGTACCGCTGCGAGATCTGCCAACGGAAGTTCACCCAGCTGAGCCACCTACAGCAGCACATCCGCACGCACACCGGCGACAAACCGTACAAGTGCCGGCATCCAGGCTGCACGAAGGCGTTCAGCCAGCTGAGCAACCTACAGAGCCACTCCCGTTGTCACCAGACCGACAAGCCGTACAAGTGTAACTCCTGCTACAAGTGCTTCTCCGACGAGCCGAGTCTGCTCGAGCACATACCGAAGCACAAGGAATCGAAGCACCTCAAGACGCACATCTGCCAGTACTGCGGCAAGAGTTACACCCAGGAGACGTATCTGGCGAAGCACATGCAAAAGCACGCGGAAAGAACGGACAAACGACCACCAATCATCGGTACAGGTCTAAGGCCGTCGATCCACGCGATGGCGGCCCATCATCAGGATCACTATTGGCCGAAGGTCAGTCCCGATTCGATGATCAACGATCTACACGAACGTCTGCCGCATCATCACACCACCGACTACCATCAGAACCAGAACCCAGAGATGTTGTTACCTGGCCACGGTCATCGAGGCGGCGAGTCCATAGAGAACGATTCAAGGCAACAAACCCCCCAACCTGGCGCCAATCATCATCCGAACAGTAGCTCAGCGTTCACCCCGATATCCTCGATCTCGATAAACTCGATCTCCTCGATGCAACACCCCTTGAACCCGTTGAATCACCTGCACTACCCAGGCAGCCATCATCCAGCCTCCAGGCCGTACCTCTACGAAGCGTTCAACACGACGCAGAAATCCTCGCCGGCCACATCCTCGTCCGGCGTGACATCGGGCACGACCAGCAACCAGAACGCGGCGACATCGTTCCCGAATCAACTGATCAGCCTGCATCAGATACGGAATTACGCTCATCAACCGAACCTCGGGAATCTCGGCAATCTAGGGAACTTTGGGAATCTTAGCAACCTGAGCAACCTGAGCGCGTCGATGGAGAGCCACGCGCTCCTCGGCGGGCTCAAGGAGAAACAGTAACTCCGGCTGGTCTTGGAGGATTAGGAGAGCTGCAACTGCTCGCTGCAATTTTCTCCTCGGTTTTCCTCTTAATTCCTTCTCTCTCTTGTCCATTGTTCCCGGTTTCCTCCTGTCCCCCCATTCACCTGAACCACGAACGCCCGAACGGAATCGTCCAGCGTTCCTCGTCTATTTTTTCCGTCGATGAACGACGACGATCACCTAACGGATGCGTTGATGATTCTTCTCCCCTGGGTGAGGTGTATCTCACAAAGAAAACGGTCGAAGAGCTCTTCGTGGATCCTAGGATCATTTGGATTCTGTACTATACATATATCGTGGTGCGTGCAACAACCTACCTGTCGTTCCTGTTCTCCCAGCACGGTGCCCACGGGTGTGGTGGTTGTTCGCTCGTTCGTTCCTGGGTATACTACCGCCGCACAGCGGTCCAGTATCAAATTTTAACAGTTTAAACGGTCGTAAAGAAATTTCTTTAATTCTTCGTAAACCTTACATCGACTTATTATTAACCGTGCAAGATTTATTATTGGTCTCCTCAGATCCTTTCGTATCCTCGATCTCAATTGAAAATAGAAAAAGATTTCCCTAAAATTTCATATTTTCATGATGTTCAAAACTGACTGTTAGTCATGTGAGAATCCGAAGAATTCATAAAAATTTTCATCATTTATTTACTCCCACTTGAATGAAATTATAAGTTACAAAATTTTTTTATTATATCAGCTAAATAAGTATACGAGCTGCTAAATTTTTATTCTGTACCACTGTGCGTCGGACCGAATTCGAGAGAAACACTCGAATCGAAGTCATTCAACGCCTTTTTTGTTTTTGTTTTCCCTCTTATTTTTATTTGAGATTCATTTACGGACACACTTAGTAGATACATATACAAGTGGTCGATTTTTTCACGAGAGAATTTCGAAGGAATTATTTTCTTTTTTCATTTTTACGTTTTTAAAATTGCAGCTTTTCTATCGAACATCATTTGCGGAAGTGAATCAACCGATTTCAGAACGTTCTTACAAGATGGTTTACAAAGAAACGAAAGACGATAGGCGGAAGGGTAAGAGAGGAAAGATCGTTTCTCATCGAGAACGATCTTTTTTTCTCTCTCTCTTTCTCTCTGTTCGATCGATACGAGTCGAATGCAGATCGGCCAGGCGACTTTTAATCGTTTTAATGCTACCGGGCATCCATGCATGAACGGCGAATTATTAGAAAGTCCGTGCTCGGTATCGATCGATCGATCGAGAGAGAAAGAGAGAGAGAGAGATATCGGTTCACCGTCGAAGGCACTCGTGAATCGGCAAGATCGATCACCGGTCAGCCTCGATGTAACGAACCGCTTAGCCTCTCTCGTCGTTGATTAACTTTCACGTTCGGAGTTAGTTAGAAAGTAGCCCGGGGAAAATGATTGCCGGGGTTAACCACGTTCTCTGGTAATCTTCGAAACGAAGTCTCGCGGGCGGATAGCCACCCTGAACGACGAGAGTGAATGATCCTTGGGCACCAGGCTCGCTTACAGCTACAACATTCCCTAAACTTACTTTCGGGGGATATGTATCCTCCATCGAGTTCCGTCAAGTTCCAAACCTTCCTCGTCTCCTTCGCCCCCCCCCCCCCAAACGATCTCCTTAGGTTAATTGTCGAGCTCACCTGGAGTCGCGATCCAGAGCCTGCCTTCTCTGTTTCATGCTTGGCTGGTCCCATCGATGACGACGATAATGATTTTCCTGTTTTGTACTTTTTAATCATGTATGGGTTTAAATTTTCGTGTATCTGATCTCAGGTAGCACGATATGGTTTTTTTTAAATATCGTTTAGAGCTCCTCTCTCTCTCTCTTTCTCTCGCTCTCTCTCTCTCTCTCTCTCTCTCTCTCTCTCATAAATACACACACGTTGACCGCTACAAGTTATCTGTATACACGTGAAACATCGCGACTTTACTAATCATGTCCGAGGTAACTGTGCATACAACGTTACCTCGATAAATCTTTTTTCTTTTTATATATTTCGTCGATTTGTTATACTAGTCTTAATGCCAAAACTACAAGCTTCGGGATAATAATTATGAGGACCTTAGGATTAATGAAATTGATTCGAGCAGTTTTCGGTTTTATCGGAAGATGAATTTTCGGCTGGTCGAAGTGATTCGTATAGATACCAGTGGTCAACGTGTCGGTCTCCCCCCAAAAGAAGGAGAAAGAGGCTCGAATTTTTTCGTGGTAATTCAATCGGATTTAGCGACGATACTGTTTGCAAAATAATTACGTTTGTATAAATGGAATGGTTACGTTTCGATGAATGGAAAGTAAAGTCCATCCAGAACATACACACAGAACACTTGATCCTTTGGGAAGTGGGGAGAGGGGGGTTCAACCTCCGCAGAGTATCCACGAAAAAGAAAAAAATCGTAACGAGGTGTGGGGAATCGATGGGACCTGCGTTAATTCCGTTCTTTTCACATTCCTGCCTCCCAGGAGCACTGTTCGTAAGAGGGAATAGCAAATGCCAGGAGAAATCGTGCCGTGAAGTACACCTATTTTCCAAGGGGTGGCTCACCCTCTTCCCCCTTCGAAGGTGGAACGGGGTGGGCACACCTTTCTGGGTCGAGTGGACGTTTCGCTCGCAACGGGATAATTAACGAAGAGCATGAGAGAGTGTATACGTGTTCGTGTGTGTGTGCGTGAGTGTGTGTAAGAAAGAGAAAGTGTGTGTGTGTGTGTGTGTGTGTGTGTGTGTGTGTGTGTGTGAAGGGGTGAGTTAGAGCGAGAATAACTGGAAACTAAGCATCGCACGCACCTTTTAAATAGGAGTTACACGCGTACATACACACATCACATGAGGGCACAAATCGTGTGAATGTCCAAGATAACACTGAGAGAGAGAGAGAGAGAGAGAGAGAGAGAGAGAGAGAGAGAGAGAGAGATTTAGGGTAGGTCGATGACAGTGCCACGAAAAATAATAAATACGAAAGTAACGGAGATAATAGAGAATTAAAGTGGACCGAGAGAGGGGTTAGAGGCTGAAAAGACGAGAGCAACGTGAAAAAATAAGCACCAGGCGCACAGAGAGAACGGAGAAAAAAGGTAGAGAGTATGATACGGAGAACCTCCTTGTACATAGCTATTATATATAAATATATATATATATATATATATAAATAAATGAATAAATAAATATTATATATTATTATTAATTGATTGATTAATTGATCGATTAATTGATCAATATTCGGTAGATGCGTAAGCTAAAAATGAAAGGAAGGATAGAGAGACTCTACTGAAGATATTCTAAGTACCTTGTCTAACGAGAGAAAGAGAGCAAGAGTGCATGAGTGAGAGAGAGAGAGAGAGAGAGAGAGAGAGGGAGTTACAAAAAGCAATCGTTGCCCAAAGTTATTTACGATAATTTTTCGTTTTCGTATGAACGCGTTTCCGTTCCGAAGTCGTGTCGCGCCGTTTCGATTGACTTCGACGATCGATCGTTTATTCTTCTGCTTTCCTCCTTCTTCTTTTTTAATCCCTCGTTTAATTCTTCGATCGTCGGGATCGATCGGAAGCAACGGTGACACGACGACAAGCTTAGGTAAAAATTCTCGAGGCGTGCGAACCAGCGCCGAAAATGCACGCCCTGGCAAAATGGACAAAGAGGGGGATAGAGACAGAGAGAGAGAGAAAGGGAGGTGGTGTAGAACACGTGTACTGTAGATAATTTCTTGTTATGGCGTCGCGCGTGTCCTCGTCTCGGGGGGTTGCTTCCTTCAGAACCAAAAACAGAAACGAAAATTTTCCTTTTGTTTTCGTCGTTTTTTCCCCCACCCACCCTGTCAATCCTAAGTAACCAAACGAACACCGATCTATTTTATTTTTTTTTTACCACCCCTTCCACTGCATTTTAAAGAAGAATTGCTCCTTGAAAAAATATTCCGAAGGACCGTGCAATTGGGAAGATAAAGGCTCTCGAGACGCGACAAGCCGGCGCTCCACCTGTGCTCAAGTTGTTTAAAACTATTAGTTTGTTACTAAGATGTGGACGAATGGACGAGAGAGAGAAAGAGAGACGAATAGATGATGAGCGTGTCTGCTGCGCGCGAGCAAGGAAGAAAGACAGAAAGAGAACGAGAGAGAGGGTTGATCGAGAATTCTCTGTGGCGGAAACACACACAAACCCGATCTTGAGTTCCAAATCGCGTTCGGACGTTGTATCACTCCCTGTTCTTTCCCTCGTTCTTCCGAACGGTGATCATCGCCACGATGATCCAGAACGGGGGAAATGCCGAGGATCGGTGGGGGGTGTGCGCACCGGAGAAAAATGAAATTAACGAAAAAGGGGAATCGCGACGTTTCGGCGCCGAAACGTCGCCGATCGCGTGGACGACGAGAACAATGACTAAAAAATTTATAGGAATCGTCGTTTCTCGTTAACGTTTATTCGAAATTCATCGGGGAGGGGGGTGGGAGGGGGCGAGTTTCGAGGATTTTGTTTTGGGGAGTGTGGGTGGTTACAGTGTCAGGTACCCCCGCGCTTTAATTGTGATCCTTTTTCTGTCTATCCTTTAGTTTCATTGATAATTATTTTATTATTATTTTATTAATATTATTATTAATTTTTATTATAATTACCGATTTCGTTTAATAAACTGTCACGTTAATAAGAAAGACACACCTGGATATTGTGGAGATGACGAGAACGTTGGAACTTTTGTTTTTCCCGCCCTCCCACAGTGGTTGGGAATCAAAATTTAGTGGTTCAAATGGTGAAAAACAAATTTCTTTTATCTTCCAAAAAACGCAAATCAACTTAACCATGGAAGATTTGTTTCATGCATTATTATTCTCTTCAGGCCCTTTCGTGCCATCACTTTCAGTCAATAACAGAAGAACGGCTTCCCTAAAACTTCAGATTTTTATGAAGATGTTGAGAAGAAATTGTTAGTGAATGAAGTTAGTCTCATCGAAAATGATTCCTAAAATTGATGAAAATATGTTCATTTATCTGTTTTTATTTGAATAAGATTTTGTAAGTTTAAACAATTTTTATTCCTTGAGCCAAATAAGCTTGTGAACTGCTAAATTTTGATTTTGAACCACGCACAAAACAACCCTTTACTCCTCTTTCTTCGTAGCGTTTAACGAGCACACGGTGAGTCCTGTACCATTGATTTCCTCTGCGTTCACCGGAGGCAGGAAACGCGCAATCCGCCTCGAGAATACGCGAGGAATAGAAGGGAAAAGGGGATGGATAGGTTTCGTCGAACGAACGCTGTGCCTGTCCTTTGTTGTAAACAAAGGAATATATGTGTTGACGCGTAGGAAATTATGTTAATTTTGTTAATGAATTGTTCGTTGTTACCCGTAGAATCGAGAACGAATGCAACACGAGCGAGATTTTCGGCGGTAGAAGAAAATCA